TTACAAACTACTGTATTTACTCATGTACATGTACAATAATGTAGCTCTATACCATATAACCTTTAAAATATAGCGTGGCTAGTTATCCTAAAGTGGGTTAGTGTACTCATGATTGTAAGATGCACATGTATGTCCTTATCTTATTATTATTGTGTATTTATGCCCTAAGTTAGCTGTGAACAAATTACTTCTTACCTAAAAATAATTAAGTCACTTGTGTGCCTCTTGTACTTGTATATCAAATGGGAACTTCCTTTCCCCCTCCAAAAAGGTTACTTTTAGCCTCACCAACACCCCCATCCCTATTATATTTTTTAAATGTATATAGCCATGACAACACAAGGTGCACTTCATTAGATTGGGAATTTCATTGCCTCGGTAGCATGTTGTGTCCTATTTTATCCTCAGTTTAAGCTGAAAAGGTATTTAACATTGCCTATCATTGTTCAAGAAGTCTACCATGTTGCAAAGGAGGTGTGGTCACAACCTATTATGCCATAGTACCCTGCGCTCATTCCAGAAATCCTGCCATGCCCCTGATTATGATAAACTTTTGAGGTGTAACTCACTAAAGGAAAAGTATATAGTATGTCTCTGTTTCCTTTATCACATGCTTTTAATTTTCCTGTCTCTCATTGGTAATACATTTGGATCTGACATAGATTCAAATTATCAGTTGAGAGAGTTATTATGATCGTTACGCTGCTGAAGTAAACCATTTATTCGATAATAATACAATTACAAATATACATGAATGTTTGTAGAATGGTGTGCCACTTATGACCTATCTCAAACTGGTTATCTTGATAAACCTCAAGGTGATGAAGACTCTTAGAAAGGTACAGTAGCTAATTCAAGAAAATATTGTACACAAAAAGGGGAACTTCTGCGATAAAGTTTGCCATATTTTTAAATGAGCATGTTTGTACATGTGTTTCGGGTATTTGTCAAGTGATTCTCTTTTCACAGGCACATATTAGAAAGTAACCTCTGGAGACCAGCATG